GTTTCTAATCCATCTGCTGGGTCAAGTCAACTAACTAATCGAAAGCGATACTGTGCCCTTTCTAGGGTAGATGGGTAGATAGAGCTGACGCGCAGCACCGCTGCCAGCTCACTAGCGAGAGCTATATCTCCAAAGCGAACTCGTTCTGCGATTCCGCGACTGGTAAGTAACGCTGCACACCCAACGATTTCATTTCGATAGTATGATTCAACCTCGTACCCTACCTGTTACATCACCCATGACATATGGCACTCTGAATGAAAGGATAAGCATGAATAATCCGATGAGGTATTGGCATGGGACCATCCAGGATTTCCGTCGTCCAATCCGTCGCCAATACACTGAATCTACTATTGGCGCCCATAACAGTTTCATACTGAAAAAGATATCTGTACAGCCACAAACTATATAAATGATCCTAAAATATTTCACAAACCTAAACGGCCAATATGCAAAAGAAAATACTGCTTGTTGACCATAAGATACATGTTTGCTTTGTAACAGTAAGGGTATGGCCGCGATTAAGCCAAGAGGAACACCCTGGAATGAAATAATTGTGAAAAGCACCACACAAACAGTCCACGATGCTATTCCAATGGATGGAGGAGGCGTTTTAGTGCAACAGTCCGCGCAGGCTACCTGTATCCCAGTTTTCGACAAGGAGTTTTGGGGCTACGAAATGATGGGTTTCATTTGCACGATATTTTTTTCAATTTTTATGTTAGACGCCATTTGGTGGCGGATGGTTTTAGGCGATAGTGAGCTAGTGATACGAGGGTTTTTGCCAGAACCTAGGCAGAGAGGGAAAAAGTTTTGGTTTGGGCGAAGCAATCTCCTTGTGCAGAGAGAGATGTGAAGATTTTAGCGGTATTTGCCCGCACGCCCTCGGTTTTCAAAATTAAGGCAGCATTTCAATTTGGTCCCCGAAGAAGGAGCTTCGTCCACTGGGTTGCTTGACCACCTGAACATGGACATGACGCAGTTGGCATGGAGATGCCTGAGGCTCGCACCACAAAGGCCGGCGCCAAAATAGCTTAGATACAAACCCCGTGATTGCATATTGCAGACCGTGGCGTTCAGTTACGGACCGACACTTTTTTGGTGACTCTCCAGAAAAGTAATCGCGGAGAATACCATAAGACCCCTGGCAGCGTCAGTGTTCCAGTTCTCCGGACCTGCTCGCTTTATGCCAGCAAAGCGATATCCTGCCTCTTCTGGTTCAATAGTCGTTTCTTCGTGTGCATGTCCAATCACTGAATACCATCTAACAACGAGAAAACGAAAAACACAAGTAAACGCCCTCGAAACGACTATTCAAAAACGGAGGATGTTGGGTCAAAAGTTGGATAAACAAACGGTAAGAAGATTTATCCTGTCTTCTCCAAGTGTTCCTACTTATTATTCACTAGTTAAAACGCATAAGTTTACAGGCCAGAGGCTTTTAGGACAATCTCACGTCCGCGCGACATAAAGACCCGGCCTATAGTTTCTTCCTGCGGTGGACCATCGGATAGAATCAGCTGGCTCCTTGTCAAGTTATTCTCCCCTCTCCTGAGCCATGTATCATCGCATTTAGTCAATACAGGAGACTTCATGGCATCCCTCGACCAATGCCTTATCCCAGCAGAAGCTAGCTATGCTAGCTTCGATGCTGTATCTTTGTATACAAATGTCAACACCTGGGATGCAATTGATGCTGTAATGAACTTATGGAGCCAGCACAGACGGGAAATCTTCGTTTTTGGCCTGGAAGAAGAAGATCTGCGGGAATTGTTTAAGGCAACGTTGGAGTGTAACATATTCCAGTTTGACGGAAGGTTCTATAAACAACATCGGGGGCTAGCCATGGGATTACGAATAGCACCCTTACTAGCCATCCTATTCCTGACCGCCAATAGAACGGGCCGCGTCGCCCTAACCACGTCGCGGATATATTGTTTTAACAAAAGGTACATTGATGAGCGGTCTTCGATCAATTGGTCCTCATCATCAGGAACTAGGGAAGGGGGACGCTTCTCAAAGCTCAACTCACTAGACACAAACATCAAGTTTACTGTGGAGAACAGATGAGGAGGGATATGTCCCATTCCTGAATACTAAAGTCAGGATAGAACACGGAACCAAACAGCTGTATTGGTATAAGAAACCGGCGTCGAAAAATGTATTACTACACTCCAGAAGTTGCCACCCGTCATATATGAAAGCGAACGTAGTTCGCAATTTGATCAAGACAAAAGAAAGGATATGTACGCAGCGGTCGCAACAAGTAGATACAATGGTGGACCGAATTCTCGGGGATAATGGATACATCAGTACACGTGTTAACACATGGAGACCGTACTCGACACCGGATGGGATTCCCTTGGTAATGCCATATCTTAATGAAAGTACGGCGGTAAAAGTTAACACCATAGTTAAAGGCTCGCCACTCCCCATACGGCTTATATTCCGTCCACCACCAAATCTTAAAAGACTGCTCAGGCGCTATCTTCCAGGCCTTATGAAGATAAATGTGGACGAGGTGGCTGCGCATACTGTAATGGCGGAAAAATATGTCAACTTAGGGGGACGGTATATTTGATAAAATGCCAGGGATGCGGGCAGAAGAAGTACATTGGGAGCAGACAATAAAGAGGGACCACTCTACAAACGGTTTAGATGAACACCGACAGTGGCCCTTTACAATGCCAGCTTCACTAGGGCGCGACAACAGTCTCTCCAAGCACCGCACCAAAATGCATGCACACGAAAGTCCTCCCGCACTTACCATTACAGTATTACACCGCTCCATAGAAAATCCGTTGGAAAGAAAGTTATTAGAAGCACTGGAAATAAGAAGACTATCCCCAGAAATGAATAGCAAGGATGAGCTACGTGACGCGCTGCAGTTGATTCACTGACTACGAAGCGGAATGCATAATGGCCCGGAGCGCGTCAGATAGATATCATATGCAGAAGCACTCACTAGGCATCCTCACTATTTAAGCAGGGTAACGGGTAGGGTCAGTCATTTACCACTAGAAGGCGCGGCATTCGCAAGGAGCAGCGTCGACATACTGGCGGATACTGGAGGTCAGAGTCCAGAAGGCACCACTGAAGATTCAGGATTCCGGTGGAGGTGGCTAACTGTAGTATTTCAGGTCGCTGAAGAAGGTGCTAGGCACCGAAATATTCGAAGAAGAAAGATTATAAACAATATAAAAAATTTTTGTGAAAACTTTTGGATTCTTTTGAATCTTTTGAGTCTTTCGCAATAAATTTTGGGCGCCTCTTTTATGTGTTCAACATTCAGAAAACACAGCTAAGTGAAAACTGAACCTGCGTTAGCGGGAAGTCGCCTTTTGGTTTCGGCGGGCGCGACAACTAGGGAGGAAACAGTATTCTTTTATGAGGCTGCCAAGGCCCTTGTTACTCATGTAAAGCCGCGAAAGTAGGAGGCCTCATAGATTTAGGACCTGTCTACTTGAACAAGGAACAATGCCTACGAATTGGCTGATGGCAGGCACGCTCATTACATCATAAAATTACTCGTCCAAAGAGTAGTTTGATCCATTGAACACGGATAAGCATCGCCTTCCATATTGGCCGGCACTGAAGATCGTAAGGATTTCCGCGTGGAGGATGGACTAACACTGTAGTATTTCAGGTCGCTGAAGAAGGTGCTAGGCACCGAAATATTCGAAGAAGAAAGATTATAAACAATATAAAAATTTTTGTGAAAACTTTTGGATTCTTTTGAATCTTTTGAGTCTTTCGCAATAAATTTTGGGCGCCTCTTTTATGTGTTCAACATTCAGAAAAACACAGTGTGAAAACTGAACCTGCGTTAGCGGAAGTCAAAGCCTTTTGTTGTCGGCCGGCGCGCGACAACTAGGGAGGAAACAGTATTCTTTTATGAGGCTGCCAAGGCCCTTGTTACTCATGTAAAGCCGCGAAAGTAGGAGGCCTCATAGATTTAGGACCTGACTACTTGAACAAGGAACAAATTTGCCTACGATTGGCTGATGGCAGGCACGCTCATTACATCATGAAATTACTCGTCCAAAGAGTAGTTTGATCCATTGAACACGGATATCGCTTCCATATGGCGCTAAAGCAACTGGCACGGTGCAGATCAAGTGCCTCCGCAAAGGCAGGCCTGTAGAGTCATTGCTTTTGTCGCGGGCCAACCAGGTGCATTAATAATTCAAGCGCAATGAGATGATCCGCGTGTTCCACTGTACCCCCCCCAACCCTTCACAACATGTTTCGGCGTAAATATCATTTGCATCTGGTGGAATTTTCAACCAAAAAAGTGATGCGTTAACTGACTGGTTCCAGTAAGGGAGGGGAAAGCAAGGTTGAAAAGTATAGAAAGTCTGCTATGTTGGGTGAACTAATGGAAACTTCCATGACAGGGTATTTGAAAAAGCGCTAGGGGTAGCGCTTTTTTCGGGTCCTTCGGGTCCTCTGAACCAGAGCTGCTCACGCCCACAATACTGGAATAGTGCCAAGTCTCCCATAGTCTCATAACATAATGGCGTCTGCAGGCCTTGATTGAACGATGGACACTCTCCCAGTAATGCATTTCAGACACAGGACTTTTAGCGCAATAGATGTCAACCTCACCTTCGTCCAAATAATAACAAAAGAAACACAACTTCTTACCTGTAACAAGTAAAGAAATAGCAGTAAACATATTGAAGAGATGTCTCCCCTCAAAGTTTCCCGTGTACGACTGAACCAGCTTCCACCAGAGTCGACGGACTGAAAATGACACGAGGGTTAGAAGAATTTCGCGAATAGCTGAATAAAAAAATTGACTTTGAAAAAATTTTGAGCGCGCGGGGCACGTCTATACATTATTTATGTCATTATACAGCTGCATAACTGACGATATCTTTATGAATGAGTCTTTCTTCTTCTTCTTCGTATTTATCAGTCGGATGGAAATACATCGGCGCATGAGGGCCTGCATCCGCGGATGAGAAATCCGGCTCTTTTGCCATCACATCTTCGCTGGTCCGTAGTTGTCCTCGATTCCTCCGTCTCACCCGTTTTGCCATAGCTAGAAATTGAGCGCTCACGGGAACACAGCCACATATTGTCTTGCGTTACTTAAGGAAAAAAAGCAGAAAACACATGGTTAGACAGTAGTGAGATACGTAGACATATCGACAGAGGTTAAACATTTAAGTTCGGTATATCAGAGCTGATTGCACTTTTGGCTACAGTAAGGCAGCGTTCAGACTTCGCGTCAGAGCACGTTCAGACTTCGCGATCGCGCGATTTACACGCGCTCGACTTGAGTGAGTGAAGTATAGGTATCGATCGACATTTTCGTACTATGCGCACGCCAGCGTTTTCGCCACTGCCCTCGGAAAGTTCAGTGCTA